CTGAGGAAAACGAGCAGAAAGCCAGACGCGACGATAAGGAAACCCCAGATCAAGCCAGCGGTACCTCCATCGGTCAGACCTTGCTCAAGTAGTCTGTCGGATAAGGTCAACATTTAGATCATTAAAAGTTTGGATACTCAAGAGACGTACGTCAGGATAACTTCCCATGTTGCGATCAATGTGCAACCAAAACCGACAATAGAGATAAACCGGAAATTCCTCTTCCGTAAAGTAAGCGACAAAATACAAGCTTGATCAAGGCCAACGAAAGACATACACGCAACACCTGCTCTCGGCCTAGAGCACTCATGTCGGCCTGGTCCTTCACAGTACCCCGGTATTTGGCGGGCACGAAATGGCCTCCTTGCGCCGCCTCATCGCCATAGTTGGTGGTGGAGACTTGGGGGCCATCTTTCAGACTGTTGAGCGAGACCATATTGGAGACACCGGCGCACCTAGTTGCGCATCAAGAAAAATCGTGGTTGAGGGAAAGGACGGGTTCAGCACGACAGGGATGTGAAGAAAGAAACCGAGTGTTTAAACCAGAGGTAGTTCCAAAATAAATTAGTCGTAAATTAAACTAGAAGGGAAAAAAACTAGAGGAGCCAGATGAAACGAGCACGTTGAATCTACTAGCAGATTTAGATGCGCCACTCGTTCGGAGATTTCAAAAGCCGGAACTGGTCCAGGGAGTTGGAGATTTGGAGTTCGTAAAAATCCCCTGATATCCGAGTCATTAATCGTGCTAATGCGGTTCTAGAAGCAATCGAGCATGCTACTCCATAAACGGCATATAACACGCGCGACACTGGCTCGGGAATCGCTGCCATAATTAGATTACCGGTAAGATACGCAGAGCCATAAACGAGGATGCAGAGGCAGCAACGTTCAGGATTGATTCCTTCAAGGTTCTACTCCGTACAGGGTTACATACAACCTAGGCGCTATTTTGCGAAGTAGGAAAATGAATAATGGAAAATAGAAAAAAAAAATAAAGAGAGAGAAAAAAAGGATCTAACTCTGTCAGCGTTCCATGGAAAGACCAATCTAAGTGCAATATTATTGATTGATATCCACTCCTCAAACGCCATTGCATCAGCCCATAAGCACACTATCCTTTTAGTTCATCGCCAGACAGCCAACCGGATCTAGCGCAGATCCCCATCAATGCTCCATACGAACCATCCAAAAGGGGATTTCGGCCCATCCCGGCATAGGCACAACCAAATCTCGTTTTGATGACAATCTGGAACATTGACTGTGGGGGGTCACAAGAGATGTTGACCTTCTGCGCGTGTTTCTGTTATGCAAACTCCACGAGGAATGCAACCGAGCAGCATTAACCCCCTTCTCTCCAAGAACTACCCTTCTAGTCATAGTCATCGGGGTTACTTGGCGCCCAAATCTGCTTTAGTAATGTGGCCGGTGATTGGTTACTTGTCAGTGCTGGCCTGATCCTCGAGAACTTGATGCTCGGGACTTGCATCTCGTTGTCTGCATTCATGAACGAGGTAGGGCTTCATAAGTCACGACGGATGGCTCTTCACAAAACCTAGGACTTCAAGACTCGATAGGCATCGCTTGTGACAATCATGACATCCGCTACCGTAATCGCGATCGGCGTCCTTTTAGCGGCTTTACTATACAAGTATATCATTCACCCTTGTTGTTTATCGCCAATCGCCAGCGTCCCCAACGCACATTTCACATCACCCATTTCGACTAGGTGGATAGAAAAGCAACGCAATGAGGGCAAAGAAGTCCTCGCCATCTACGACCTACACCAGAAGCTCGGTCCTGTGGTGCGACTGGGACCGGATGAACTGAGCGTGAATTCACTGAGTGGCCTGAAGACAATCTACACGGGCGCATTCGAGAAGCACTCATTTTACAGCGACGTGTTTATCAATTTCCAGACGCCTAATCTAGTCGGAATGCTGCATAACAATCCTCACGCTCGTCAGAAGCGTATGCTCAGCAGAATCTACTCCAAGTCGTATCTGCAGGAGTCGCGGGATCTGCGCGATATCTCCAGCATTGTTCTGTCCCAAAGACTGTTCCCAGTTCTACGGCATGTAGCCAAATCTGGAGAGGCGATCAATGTGTTGCCTTTGTTCCAAGCCGTGGGGATGGACTTCACGTCATCTTACTTGTTCGGCACAAAGAATAGCACAACATACATCTTCTGTCTTCCGGAGTGGCAACAATGGTTGGAGGAATATGAGAAGTTCAAGTACATGAGTGTACAGGATCGGTACATGGGTTTCATTGAAAGCTGGTGCCTTTCACTTTGCCGCAAGGTCGAGAATAACGATCAGCCGAATGATGTGCCGATCGCCACGAATGCAGTGGTATATAGCCAGCTTCGTCAATCGCTTGAGAAGGACCCGGACAATCGACCCCTCGAATTAGCTATTGCATCGGAGGTACTCGATCATCTTGTAGCAGGTCATGAAACTAGCGGAATTACCTTCACCTATATGATGTGGGAGCTCTCTCAACACCCAGAACTGCAAGCCGAGTTGCGCCGAGAGCTCCTCACGCTGACACCGAATCTGACATCCCTATCTGCCTCGGATGATGCAGCGGGCCTACCATCTCTCCCTTCACCGTTGGAAATTGATGCTCTTCCCCTGCTAGATGCAGTCCTCCGAGAAACTCTGCGGTTACATTCGCCCGCACCAGCACCATTACCTCGCGTAACACCAGCCTCCCCGGCCGGCGTATCAATTGATGGCTACCACAATATTCCTGCTGGCGTACGCGTGAGCTCTTCTTCGTACTCGCTGCACCGTATCGAAGAGGTTTACCCCCGATCGTCAGATTGGCTCCCCGAACGATGGCTCAAACCCGAACCAGGCAAGATTCACGATATGCGCCGACTGTTCTGGCCGTTTGGAAGTGGCGGGCGCATGTGTTTGGGTAGTAATTTTGCTTTGCAGGGTAGGTCAATCATGGTTTTCGGATCAAATTATAATTTCACTAATGGAAGGATACTACAGAAATCAAACTTGTGATGGCAGCAGTCTACACGAACTTTACGACTTCTATTGTTGACGACGAGGGCATCGAGCAGGACCATGCGTTCATTTCCCTGCCCTTGGGGCGTAAGCTTATGTTGAAATTTACTCCTGTGACGGAGGCATGATCTAAAGCATGAGGGGCCACCATGATAATGATTCAATCATGATTAGAGAAATGAGTGATGCGCATTTCATTCTCTTGTAACCAGCCAGTAACTGCTCACTACGACAATGATAACAATCTTACCATGTTAAGACCTAGATTGATGAGGATATGAAATAGCGCAATAACGGTCGTCATCCGTTGTACGACCCCGTATAGACGAGGCAGGTATGCGAGGCTATCAAACAAAGGTCAGCCCTTGCCTTTTGGTGCCTAATACGGTCTTAGGACGCGTCCAGCATATCCAACACTGGCCTACATGACTTCTCGCTCAGAACTCTGCTCGGGATGATTCGAAACCTGGCCTAAGTTCACAGGTCATTCCTTTGCGCTGTTCTGGTGAGACGTGGTCTCGCAAAGTTTACTGGTCAATGAAACTCCAGAAGACTTGCTCGGTGTAGCTTCATAGTTAGTCCCAACTGGTGAAGCAAAATGGCCGTTGTGATGTGGCTTATGTTGTGTTACTCTGACGTGTCAATGCATGACACGCAAGGCTGCCGTATACCCTCTGCTTTGCCTCAGCTATACCCAACGCAGTACTATGTTTATGTAGAATTTAAATTGTACAATGTCTTCTTCCTGTACATTTGAAGTACAATCACTGTGTCTTTAAAGTTCTCGGTATCTTGGTAGCTACGTTTTCTAATCACTTGGCACGATGTTGGATCTGGATGACATGAGGAGGCGGTATAGAGAGCTGAGCAGTGTTGAAGATAGTAAAGAGAAAATCATCGAGGTTGGTCCGAAGCTATATCCAATGCAGCGGTCGTGTTAACTGAGCCGGATGGTATGCAGGATCTCTTCTCTCAAGTTGAGGAGCTGCGGAAGGATCTCACAAAAGCACATGATGAAGTCGACAACTATAAGGAGCTCGCTGGTTTGTTCAAGGACAAGTCAAACAAAGATAAAGAAGCATTGGAGATGAAGAACCGTGATCATGTAAGTCTTGCGTCGACGGCACACTTCCTGTCTCTAGGGTGAGTCCGTCTAACATGATACCATTCAGGCTAGGCTGAGCTTTGTTTCTGTGCTCGTTGACGGTGACGGTATGAATGTGAGTCTTCCAATCCCCCCATATCCCTTGTCCATCCGATATACCTTTCGTAGCTGACAATTACTCTGTTCTTAGTTTCAAGATCACCTCATCCAAAGTGGATATGACGGCGGTCAAAAAGCTGTGCAGCTTCTGAGGAAAGCGGTTGAGGACTACCTGTTTCAACTTGACCCCGAAGCGAACCCCAGGATCCAGTGTAAGATCCGTGTATATGCCAATGTGAGCGGCCTGTCAAAGACGTATCGTGATACGAGCATTGCCCCTGTCGACGGAACGCTAGAGGCGTTTATTCAGGGATTCAACATGGAAAACGGACTATGCGATTTCGTGGACGCAGGAAACGGCAAGGAATGCTCGGACGTGAAATTACGAGGTGGGCTATGAATCCCCTTTAAGCATATGTCATACAGAATTGCTTACTAGTTTATTGGTCAGCCCTGTTTGAGCAGGATATCCTCGACGTCCATTGTCAGCGTGTTATATTCTGCGCGTCTGCGGACAATGGATATGCACGCGTCCTGGGACCACATCGAGAGTCCGACCGTATCTCCCTCGTCGAAGGACCGTCCTTCGCGCGTGAAATCAAAGAGCTAGCACCCCATTTTGCAACCACCAGTTTCCCAGACGTGTTTCGGTCGACGAAAATAACCTCCAGAAGGGTATCATTCAGCAATGTCACTCCGCCGAGGACACCCCCTCGGAACTACGCTTCAGCCGTGAAAACAACACCCCCTCGGTCACAATCGACGTCGGATGTGAATCGACGATCCCCTTCACCCCTTACTTCGGCTCGAATCTCGAATAGAAATCGCAGCCCCGTCAGGTTAGCGGTGTGCAAAAATGCGGCTGGCCAGCGTGTCGATCCCCCCTTGCGGTATTCCACCAAGGAGAACGTGGATGAGTTGAAGCAGCGGAAGTTGTGCAACCCATATCATATTGTGGGCTTATGTCCCTACGGGGAAAACTGCAACCATGATCATGAGTCTCGGCTTCGGCCTCAGCAGGTGGAAGATTTGAGGTATATTGCTCGGTTGAGAGTCTGTCCGAGGGGTATATGGTGTGCGGAGGAAAGCTGTGTTTGTGGTCATCGGTGTCCCAGAGAGAATTGCCCGGGTCCTGGGTATAACGGGTGCAAGTTTCCCAAGGTCATGCATGGGGTTGATTCTTCTATTGTGGCTACTACTTTGTGAGATGTTACGGTTGTCTATTGGGCGATATTAGGGAAATGATTGACTAGTTATTGTTAACGTGATTGCTATACCTCGAATACATATATCCGATCAGCAACTGTGTGGTTGTCATTCGTGTATATGGCTTCGGAATGGTACTCTCCTCTGCTCGAAAGCGTTTATATTAACTATGAGGTAGCCCATAAAAAAGAGATAAAAAAGCAAGATATCCAAATTATTGCGACAGGTGTCACCGAGAGTGACGCGCCTTTGGTAGATCGTAGCGAAACCCTTACCGAGTGCATGATAACATGCAAGGGATATGTTTTTAAGCAGAACTGTGACTTAATGGGTTGTGTGCTCCGTATTTTCTTTAAACATTCATAGTGAAATTGATGGTGCTCTTCCCTGTGGCAACAAGGCCAATTTTGCTATGTTCGATGACGCGAATCCATGCTGAGTGGTTCACAGAAAGCATAACCTAAACGAGCAAAACGAGAATGGCGATACGAGAGCGATGAGTTCGAGACCACTTTGTATACTTAAGGTAAAATTTAAAATGAAGTAAAAGATAAAAAGAAAAAAGGCATGAGGCCAGCTATCCACGCTCGCCGCTACCCCTATTCAGCTTGGTAGTGAGTGCACCCTCAATGAAAAACTAGTCTTTCGAGGAAAAAAGAAAGAATTAGGGAAAGGGCACTCAGCAGTATAGTATAGATCAAGCGATAGCTCGTTTTATATCTTCATCTCGCTTTATACCTTCTGCAAAAACGGAATCAAACGCATCACTCCCCCGCCTCGAGATATCAACAGCGTCAAAGTCTATTGTAGCATCATCTCTGGTGGAGTCATGATCATCAATATACTCTCTAGGCTCGTGCCAACCCCAAGTTCTCACCATTCCCACGATGGGAAAGCAACGGCATGATAGATAGTATCCCAAGAATGCAATCAGCAGTCCCATCGGATACGAAATGTAATAGAACCGCTGAATAGACAGCGGCGCCTTTACACCAAGCTGATTTGGAAATGCATAAAAGCTCGGGCCTATTGAGACCAAATATACTGCGAAAGCACGGAAATTGATTCCGCGCAGGTAGTGGTAGCGAGCCTCTGGATTCATAGTGTATAGCTCTGGGATACAAAGGCGGCCTCGGCGGATCAGGTAATAGTCGCAGAGCAGGATTCCTGCAATGGCAGAGAGAAAGATCTGATAGGAGGAGAGAAACTTGATGAAAACAGCTGCTGATGACAGTAGATACCACGGGCAAATGGCGTACGATAGGACTGTACTCATCAATTAGCGACCAGAGGCTAGTTGAAATTTCGGCTAAAGCTTGCTTGCCTGCGCAGATGAAAACGGCGCGCTTGACGTTGAGGTATTTGGGGAGCAAGGCTGCTATATCGTTTCCCATCCTGTATGTGAATTAGATCATAGCGAGCGACTACAACAGCAATATGTTTTCAGCTTACGGTATGGAGTTCTCGAATATATTGGTGAAGATAGTTGAATAGACAAAGCCAAGAGAAATGAAAAAGCAGCCCGCTCGATTCCCGGGTGTATAGGATCACCTTCCATGAGACGTTTGAGAATATGGATAGGGTTCCATATAAGCTGAAGTGGTCAGGTCAGTTGCTAACGAGGGATATTCGTTTCAAAACATACCTCCCCGAATATAGGCTCACTGGTAGCAGCTATCACACAGCCCATGATGGAAATGATAAAAGTTGGCCACAGGAAAGCTGAACACTTGACCCAAAATAACATCATTCGGTCGCCTAGCATATCGCTGAAGATCGGCAGCATTGGAGACGAAGGTGGCAACACTTGCGAGCCCTAGCCAGAAGAATTTGACAACCATCCAAGACTTCTCAGTGCCGTGGATAGTTGAATGCGACCGAAGGGTATGTTTGGAAGATCCAGATAAAGAGAGTGTCCAAGCTAGCATAGCGACAGTGGCACTATAATAAGCTACCACCTTGATGTAAACTAATATCCTCATTTTTGGTATAGGGGTAAATAAAAATGCGCAGTTGATGAACCTAAATAATGTCAAATTTATCGGCGAGGTACAAATCGGCTACCATGGATGCAAGTACCAGAAGATGGAAAAGCATATCATTCCTGCACTGGTAAGGGCAGATTTAGAGCCCATCATATTAGGAATGTTCGCCATCGATGGGAAAATGGAACGCAGCAGTACGCTGGGCAAGCTCATATTAGCGATGACAATGGCTATGAATTGCACATGCAGGGCCGGCATACTTGAGGCACTGCGCACCCTGGACAGCATTGACACAGTTCCAGACAATGGCCATTACTGCACGGTTAAACGTAGACCAAAGAGCCCCAAGTGGACCCCAGCTGGACCGGCAGAGAACAGGGAAAGGGATACGATACAGTGCACCAGCGCGGCCATTTAGAGCCATGAGAATGCCTGCTAAGATCTGTCCCCCCAGTTGACAGATAATTGACTCCCACATAGACAGTCCGACTGTCAAGCCGGTCGAAGCAGCGTAGAGGTTGCTCACATTTCCCGATGCCGAGAACCAAAAGGCTAAATAAGTGATATGAGTCCATGTTCGATCTTGCACCTTTGTTGGCCTTATCGAGTCATTGTCGAGGAATTCGACCGTCCGAGGGGTGCCATCTCGGTCGACACTTCTCACAATCAATCTCTCGTGCAGAGTAGCTAATACTTTCATAGTGACTTATACAGGAAGAGGAACCTGCATAATGTAATACACAACCTTGCAAGGTATCATGCAACGGACAGCTCCTGCAGGCGGATTTATAGCTACGCATCGCCAGCTCACGGAGTCAGCCGAGTTGCGACTCAATGCTTTTTCTGAAGTGGTACAAAAAGATAACCCCCGCGCATGGCGCACCAGACAAAGAATCCTCCATATCACCGGATCTTGCATCCTGATAAGGCTTGAAATATGGCAGGGATCGTTCCCTGCGTCAACCAATGCTTTGTTAGGGTTATGTCATGGCTTATCTTCCCCACATGAACTGCCGTAGCCTCTTCATCGGTGATTGCCGAGGTGGCGCGGGGTATATATACAGTGATACCAAGCCGGACTAACCAGGTTCAAGTCAACTGTCTTGACATAGGTCTCTTGTGTGAAGTTATAGTTTCCTGCCATTGCATCATGACTACGCAGACATACACACAAATTGAACTCTTGAGCGCCAATGGCACGGTGTTGCGCCGCGTGTCAACTGCACCCCCCAGACTGCCAACAGATGATGAAATTCCAGTCATTGATTTAGCATCCATCGACGGCACTTTGGAGGAAAGAAAAACCTTGGCTTCCAGGATCAAAGCAGCGTCTGAGAACACGGGCTTCTTTTATATCCGCAACCATGGGATCCCACGGAACTAGTTCAGAACTCCCTGTCGCAAGCAAAGACCTTCTTCGATCAACCCTTAAATGAGAAGATGAAGATTGATTTTAGTGCCTCAAAGGTTTCAGCTGGTTACCACGGAGTGGGGAGCACACAGGTCAATCGTAAAGAGACGAGAGGCAAGTAATTTGTTCAAGGTTCCTGCTGTTAGCTAATATTTGACGTTAGATCTCAAGGAGACTTTCTCCATGAGATACGACCCAAGAATTGATCCAACTTGCACCGACCCTGACAGCGCTTTGGAACAAGAATACAACTCTCGCGACGATGGTGACTATGTCTGGAAAGAAACTAGCCATCTTCCAGGGTTTCGGGAAGTGACTGTGTTCTTCTGGCAGAGTCGGTTGGCATTAGCCCGAAAATTGGTCCGCATTTTTGCTCTCGCGCTCGGCGAACGAGAAGACTACTTTGATGATGTTACCACTCATCCGGGTGCAGATGCACTCTATATCCACTATCCGGGAATACCAGGTGTCACAGCGGACTCGGATATTGACGTTGGCATTGGATCCCACACCGACATCCAATGTTTCACCCTGCTCTGGCAGGACAACTCCGGTGGCTTGCAGGTATTATCAGCCCAGGATGAGTGGCTTGACGCCCACCCAATTGAAGGAACACTGGTAGTCAACATTGGGGACTTCCTTCAACGCCTCTCAAACAATAGGTTTAAATCTACGGTCCACAGGGTATATAACCGTCAGCCGGACTCGCGCTATTCAATGCCATTTTTCTTTGGGTTCAACCCCGAGGCGGTCTGTAAGGTTGTTCCATCCTGCGTGGATGATGAGCATCCACCTCTATACGAGCCAATTTCATGCGGCGAAGTATGTTATGAGTATTCTTACCAGCTTGGATTTTGCTAACCCTAGTAGTGGCATAGGGTGCGATTGGCACGTTCTAGAGTCCATAACGGAGCCAAATAGAATCTCAAGGACTGGCCAGCCAAGTTCTTTGGTCCAGTCACCAGTACAGCTATGTTCTCCAATTTGTACGTTTTCTTTTCGACTACGGCCGCACATTGATTACCATGAATGAGAAGCATAAAATCATATGGGTATGGGCTTTTCTCTAGGAGGTTCAACTTTAGGATTGAGTGCATTGGTTTATACCCTCTCACAGCCAATCATTTCCCTAGAAACACGATACGATCTTGTACCAGGATTTAACATGTAGACTAGGAGCTCACTTGAATCTACGTCAATTTCCTTACCCACATGTTAGAAGCTAAGCGAAATGTCTCTCTCACTAGCCAGACCAAGGTTCGCTTATCCAGTAGAGGCTGAGAAACAAGGCTCGGTATCCACACGGGCTGGACGGCCTATCGCTGGCGCAGACTCTAGGCTTGACTCAAATCGATCCGCTTGACTCTTGGGCGCCGTTATTAAGAACCATGACCTATTTGAGGACCCTCCATTGCTCACCGTTCTTATATTGCTTCAACTCATCCTTTGAGGTAATATTGCTTCTAATGGCTAAGGTGCGTAAGGCCGGCAGTCTTCGTAGAATCTCATTAAACCCTCAACGTCCCTTCCGAACGACGCATTGCCAACCGAACTCATCACTTCAGGTACAAAGATGGTCTGGTCACCCAATGAGATGTCAGGTCCGACCAGTGCCTTCAGGTGCATGCGGGATCTAATTTAAGTGAGCGGCTGACATGTCACTATTCATGACTTCCAGCGGCTAATAACCCTTATTTAGCCAAGTCTAGTCAGGGACCAAAGTCCCCATTGATTGGCTATCCCCCGAAGGATACGAAAGGGCCTTGGCAGTCTCTGTGAATACGAGTGAAGCCCCGACGATCTGTCAATAGCGGTCTAATGGCTTTTACCCTAATGTCTAATTAGAACACCTGAAGAGGACATAATTCTTGGCTCATAGTGCCTCATTGGATATTATCTATAAGGTTCAATGCGACATCGCGCCTCAATGGCTTAGCGGGGGCTGTGTTTGATTTTCCTTCGGGCACTGAAGGTATCATGAGAATAACACTTTATCCATATAAATAGCGTACGCAGCTTGCCTATGCGATTTCATTTCAATCAGCATTCTCAGAAGATCCAATATACACCACACAACATTTTTGCTTCTTGAAACCACTAGCAATTGAAAATGTATTTCTCCAAGTTAATCTCCGCCGCTCTCCTTGCTACCTTCGCCGCTGCCGCTGCAACACCTTCCAATCTTGAGGCACGCCAGCAGAGCGCATGCCGCCAGGCACATTCCGCACTCGAGCAAGCATCCCAATACTACAAGTCATTGGCCGAACAATGGCAGGGCAACGCACAGGTAAGGATCTTAATTCCAACTTCAGGTATCCTGTCATATCTGATATACCGCATTTAGGCTGCGATAAGACAACTTCTCCAGCAGCTAGATTCCGAGGCTGCCAAAGTTGCAGAAACTTGCGCCAAGCTTGCAGAGGCTGAGAAGGGTGCAAGGGAGTCTTAGTATGTCATTTGCACTATGGTCATTCTATGTTATACAGGCTAATGATGTGGTTACTAGTTCGGATGCTGAACGGGCCGTAAGTGATAGATTCTCGTAAAGCGGTGGCATCCAGATTCAAGCATATGGATGGGTACTAGAAGACCCATGAAAGAGAGATAGCAAGTCCGATGTGCGAAGAACTAGAGGCTAGCAGCATCCATCACAGTAACTTTAATAATTATTAATTTTTATGTGGGCGTCTTACGACAAGAAGGAACTTAGCGAAACCAACTTGACTCCATTCTCAACTACTTATGCCAAGCTAAAGTCAGCGAGTTATGAAATTTGAGAGTGAATTGTTGAAAAGCAATACATAGACGGCTTTTCCCTTCCGGCCACAAGTCTCAAGGACGGCATGATCAGCATTTAAGTAACCACATACTTCACATATATTGTATATGGAAGCTACCCCAGAATTATCTCTCAAGCTCGTGAAATATCAAATCCGAACTATTTCTGGTATAAAGCAAACCTAAAAACAGCCTTGAAAGTCCGCCAAAAGTGCGTGTAATTCCATGATGTCAGACAAACAACTCAGTCGTCATAAATAACCAAGACTGCGTGTTACAGCCCCTAGAGACACAGTACGTCGACCAGTAATGCCACAAATCCGTGCTGGAGCACAGTAGTAACCTCGGAGGCTACAGTACTATGAACGACAGAATAGATCGAGACCGCAGCCCGCCAATTAATACCTAACCAGCCGCAGCTGGTCCATGTGCAGTCTCCATTTCACTCTGGCCAACAACAGCACGCACCCTCACAGACCCCTTTCAACAGTCATCATTACTGCACATGCAATTCAGTGCAACACAGCGGTAGCATCTATAGCCAAGCCGAGCGCAAGTGGCCATACAAATTGGCGCGGTGCACCATGCCTGAAAACCGGCAAAATTCGAGTCTAGCGCCGGTGGTCAGTTTATGGTAGGATGTCTACTTGAAGTCTTGTCTTGAATACATACCAAATTTGATTGACAAGCCCTTTTCGGGAAACGAAAAGCCTTCCACCAGCCCACTGTGTGCGGCAGGCGTTGCTGCTGGTGTCCTCGTCACGGCAGAGGCGACGAGGCTGGCGCAAGCAACAAGGATGGTTGAGGGCCTCATTTGAAAATACTCTTGATAACAGTTTTATACGGTCTCCTCCCACCGAGTTATTCCTTATGAGTGGCTTTATTGCAATAACAGGTAACTTGTTCGGGAAGTAGCCCGCTATTTATACCCTGAAGCAGTGGTTAGACGCCTGTGTTAGGCGTTCTGGGGTGTTCAATTTAAAGATACTATTTTTATCACCTTTTCTTCCATGAACCCAGCAGGCCTTTGCATTGGTGCCATTGTATGAAGCCTGGGCCCCTCTTCGGCTTTCCAGGTCAGGAAATATCTCATACTAAAAGCTTGGTTTGCACGGAACATTCGCTCATAAACGCCCTGGACTGTCACACAATTAGATCCTCAACTCATTAAAGTTACCGAGAGCAAGAGTATCCCATCCATCGTGTCTGTGTTGTCAGATGTTACGCGTGAGACAAGGCTCCCGAAGGGTTGGTAGAAGAGCCGTGGTAGGTAAACACAATGTCATGCGGTAGATTACAATCGCTAAACGGCATGGATACCGAGTAACAGCAACAAGCTGTTTTGACCATGTTACTTGGTGAGGCCGGGTAGCAATGCCGTTGTCAAGCAGTTAATCCGTCTGTAAAGCGAAGCGTGTCGGCGGCACAGTACATGAGGTATATCAGACTGTGTGTGTCTAACAATGCCTTCGTTGCACACTGTGCACTTGAAATATCCCGGAGCTTCTGCAAAAGATGCGACGTATCAAACTAAGCCCCCACAAGCTAAGTTGGGATAGTGTTACTGCTCGAACTGACGATTGTGTGTATTCAATTACTTATTGGTGGATAGTTAATGCTAAGAACACCCAAGCTAGTATCAAGTTCGAAGGTCCTTTGACTATATGTCAGATTTTCTCATGTAAGTGAGCCAAAAGCACAGGCAATTGCATAGGCAGGAACAATGGCCGAACCAGTGGCCACTGAGGTGAATAACAAAATAATTACACAAGTCAAATTAACCATAATCATACAGGGCGAACCATCTGGGGCAATGTAGCATTCTGCGGATTTCTAGGAGTACAATGGTGTCTCTATCGGGATAAGGTTGTCCACTCCCCAAGTTACATAGTGGAAGAGATTCCACAGTCGGGCGTGATGAGAGCCATTAGTATGACAGCACATATAAACGACACGCATTTCTCATCCCGCTTTACTTGTACGTTTGGTACCCTTGTACATTATTTTGATCTATACGGAAGTACCTTCTTGGAGTAACACGTATACAAGCATGTATACACAAAACATATATTCAACGATGAAATCTATACTCTATAGCGTCATCTATACAACGGCAGCATCATACTTATAAAGGTTCAAGCAACTTCAAGTGTGGTAATATCCATACAAAGCATCATGTCGTATCTAGAAGGTCTTCGATCAATATCTTGCGCGTAGCATCATCCAATGCCCGGGTAAATAACACGTCATTCCATCATCGCTATGTTCACCGGCCATCGATCACCGGTCATGTAGCTTACTCAATCCAGTCGGAGAGATCCATCCCGGTCCCCAACTTTATCGAGAGCATCCGTAATATGAGATCCCTCCCCTTCATAGAGGAGAGAGTCATACGTTGCCGCTCCCAGAACGCAGCCGATAATTGGGGCGAACAGGGGGACGACAAAATAATAGTTGGCTGCAGTGAATACCTCTCTACCATAGATGATGGCAGAGAACAGTCTCGGGCCGAAGTCTCTCGCCGGGTTGATAGCCTAAGTAATTAGTTAGTATATAATGCAAGAGCGCATTGTAGTTCCAATTTCAATTTCAACTAGGCACGTACATATCCGGTCTGCCAACCCAAAGAAGCACCGATCGCAAGAAGGAGCAGAAAACTGGAAAGTTGGGGAGAATAGAACCGAGGAGCATTCGATGGGTCTGAAATGGCAAGACTTCCAAACATGAGCACTGCCGACCCAAGCAGCTCGTTAAAGGCAGCCTCCCAGTTGGACCCCAAAGTGGAGGCAGGATAAGTCGAGAAGATGCCTGCCGAATGGTGTCCCTGCGGACTCAAAATTGATCCGCCTGGAATGGTATACTCGGGATCCCAGGACTCAATGGCCGACCGGTAGTTGACGTACACAAGGGCCGCACCAACAAAACCACCTAGAAACTGGGCGAGCAATTTACCCGGCAGCTTTTTCCATTGTCCTGGTGTAGGCCGAATGAGCGCGGTACAAATGGTGACGGCGGGGTTAATGGTTGGACTAGGATCGGCAAGATAGCCGGAGAGACAGACCGCGGCTGCCCAGGACATGTTGATAGAGAGCCAAGTGCCATATTGATAATCCGATAGGAGACATTGTGCAACCACTCCATCTCCCAGGACAATCAGGAGGGCTGTTCCGAGGAATTCAGCCGCATATGGTTTCAGGGTTCCCCTAGGGAGGGTAGACAAGTTCAGAAACATCTTCCTCGGTCTGATGAAGAGATTGGAAGTCGGAAGAAAGAAAAACAGAGAGAAAGAGAGACGGGGGGAGGGGAAGCTGAAATCATGCTGTTTACGATCTGCAGATCTCTGGTTCACCGCCCCCAGTCGGGTAATCCGAGATATCCTCCGGAACTGCCCGATACGGGATAGTGTACTATCGCGTGATGTACGCCAGAATCCTCATGTTTTTTCCGGCCGGATTTCAATCAATCGACAGATCTTGGGTTCTTCCGGTCCTGCGTATACTAGTATGGATTGGGTGTTCCAAGTAGTCCATACATATTGATCTGATTCTATTCCACATCACACCCGACTCGGGGAGCCAATCAGGTGTTGCCCTGCGTCATGGTGCAAGGGTACCAGGTGGTGGATCATTCTGAACAACCCAAGCGTCCAGGTCAGCGTTACTAGACTTTCAGTCAATGCTGCTAGATTCCTCTTGGCATGAACCTTGAATATAGCTTAAGTAGCTACTTCCCGAATCCCTAGGTGCACCGAAAAGACGATATAGATCTAAATTCATTCATTCTCCGTGGTGGTACTACTGAACTCAAATTTTCCTAATCGTGCTATCAGAATCCATATAATAAGGCCTCGCAAAGTACTTAGGAACTATTCCGTGGGGCTTGAAGAATGTAATTCCTCACTACCTCTATTTAAGTTGATCTGTGTCCTTCAACTCCACCCTTCAATCTCTCGATTATGTTGAAGTCCCCGAGGAAGCAACAACATGCATTCCGTGACATTGACTCCTGACACAGATGGATCAAATGCTTGAACATGGGAAGACTCGATCATCCCGCGGCAGGTCTAAAAGCTCTCGACTACGTTAGCTTGTGATTATAGGCTATCTTGAGTGACAGAAAGCCCTGGCTTTGATGTGTTGGTTTTCCGGAAGTATGGGGAGTGGGTCCAATGTAAAATGTTACAGCATTAAGCGTGTTCTTTTCATGATGGCGGGGATAATGTCAACTTGTGAGTAACGGTGGGTGGTATGGTCCAACGTCCTCTAGCAATTCAGTTAGGTGATAACAAAAACAGCAAGAACTCATTCTCTTCCGCAGCATCTAGAACTTTGAGGGATGAACTAACGGCGGCAAGTGTTTTGTGAGCTGGCTCCTCCTGCCATTTTTCTTTTCTTTTGTGGCCAACAAGCAAAGTGACCAGAATTCCGAATATTCATGGTTAGTTGTTTTTGACCAATCCACCCCTGTCCCATGAAGTTATCACTCGCTTATCTTATCCTGTGGAAGGGGCTATCTTCAGAATATAGTTGAGAAACCGTCACCCTTTGACATTGTTGTTGTGAAGCATTCGCCCGAAACTCCCGGAGTTGCCGCACATGTGGGAAAAGCACATAATAATGCCAATTAACCGATATCTATAAGGTGATAAACACGTGCAAGGATAATTTCCGGTGTGGCATATAGAGGAACTGGCAACTGCATATATGTGTGGTCGCATTGTCACGAACCGATTGGTTATCAAGATGATGCTAATTCTAGTCCGTACAAGCGCACGACATCACGGCGATACCACGGCGAATTAACAACTTTCCGCGCAGGAACTTCCGGATGGCCCATTAGGCTCTGGCCCATGTCTGCCACACTAATTATTCCCCGAGCCGACTTGAAACATAAGGTTGGCTTGGCAAGTCTTGGAGTCTCTTGGCTCATTGTCGGTAATTTGACCCTGCGGGATTTGACCTGCGATTATCACCCATTCCCGACGATATCAAGGATCGGAGATCACGGGAGGCTATTAGGTTGAGCAGTATCAGAGCAGTCATCATCATACATTTAGAGCTTATGCTAGCAAACGGAGTCAATTAGCCCGTAGATTAACTGTCGGGAATCGCAGACCGTCTCTCTCCCCGGCAGAACTTCCCACTTGTCCGATCCACGGTTACTAGTTTGATGGTGGAACTAATGCTCGTACCGGCGTCTCTAGTCGCTGGGAGTCGAGCTTGCTGCGCCACAGAAAAGGTCCCGTTATAGTGAAACAAGTAGGGTCCCTAATATAGCTAAATAGCCAAAGAAGCCCATTAGAAGACTAGGGTCCTCCCCGTACTTTCCTCATTAGGTGGGCCATGCCGCAATATTATAGCTCTTGCTCGTGTGAAGCCTATTGTTGCAAGGCTCGGCCTGAGTTGATCCGGGATCAGCCCGAGTCAGGAGTCAGGACCCTTTAGATTGTTTCGCCACACAGACCTGGAATTGACCCTTGACACACTAACTAGCTGTTGAGGGCCAAACTACTGACTCATTACCGCCAATCGGATGTCCGGAGAAAAGCCCGGTTGTCGCGGGTTGATACTCAAAGAAGCCTTAATCCGTCAGGGCCAACAGACCCTGTCAACTAGCATGCCGGCAAATGCTCAGCGAGGGTAGGTCCGAGTGGAGACACCCATCCAAAGAGCCCATTCAAAGGGCTCAAGGATATGTTCTGGTGGACTTCTAGGGAGAGCTTCAGGCTGACCGCTGTTTCGCCTTTACATCCGGTTGTTCAACCATGCCGTGTGTGTTAAATTGAAACAAGACATACCAAGACAATTAGATTGTACATTCCTATGTAATCATTCAAGTTTCTGTCCTGTATACCCCTGGAGGAAGTATAAATTCCTCGCCATTGCCCTCATTAGAGTCTTCTAGACAAGCAAAGCAACAATCAAATCAAACTTCTCTTCGCTATCAAGTTATCAACCACTCCTCGCATCCACCATGTACCAGAAACTTCTCCTCGTTCCCCTCCTCCTCACCTCGGCTCTGGCCAGCCCTCACGATGCCTCCTCGCACCAAAAGTTCCACCAGCTGAACGAGCGTGCTGCATTCCCCATTCCCGCCTCCAAGGGTAGCCAGACCTTTAAGGAACCTTACTACGTCAAGGGTACCTATGATGGTGGCATGAAGACCTTCGGCCGTGGTGTCAAGTGTACCGGTCAGAAGGAGGGTGGCAACAAGGACGCTGTCTTCATCGTCGCTGACGGCGGTATCCTTCGCAACGCCATCATTGGTGCTGACCAGATTGAGGGTGTGCACTGCGAGGGTTCTTGCACCATTGAAAACGTCTGGTGGCAGGAGGTCTGCGAGGGTATGTTTATTCGCCATCTCACCTCTTCTCTCCCCTATTCATTGTATTCGGTGAACTAATAAACATGTATAGATGCCCTCACCTTCAAGGGTACCGGCAACGGTGTCCACAAGGTCATTGGCGGTGGTGCCCAGGGCGCCGATGACAAGGTCATCCAGCACAACAGCGGCGGCTCTGCCATCATCCAGGATTTCACTGTCCAGAACTTCGGCAAGCTGTACCGCTCCTGCGGCAACTGCAAGAAGCAGTTCAAGCGTACCGTTCAGATCAGCGGTGTCAAGGCCAGCAACGGCAAGACTCTTGTCGGCATCAACCCTAACCTCGGCGACTCCGCCACCATTGACGGCTGTGCTAGCAGCGTTAAGGAGATTTGTGTCGAGTACCAGGGTACCGACAACAACGGCAAGGAGCCCAAGAAGGTTTCCTCCGGCGCTAGCAACACCTGCAAGTTCAAGCAGCCCCTGGCTAGCTGCTAGATTAGGTGGTGGAAGATCAAGGAAAGCCTAAAGAGGTGATGATGTTAGCTGTGGTCGACAACACTTTGTATTTTTAACTTCTCATTCATTCACTGTTAGTTATAATTATACATATTTATCCAATCAAAACACTTGAATCTTTTATTTAGACACTCCTAAAGTCAGGAGTCCACCAGATTGCGTCCTTGCATATTCTCACAATGCATCCATCCATGAGCTACGTAGAAGGATCTTGAGAGAAAGTAATCACAAATTCGTCTAATCCCAATCTAGGGTGCTTACTCTAGAAGAAAGCTCTATGCAGTAAAAAATCCCGGCGTGCTATGGCACATATACATGTAGCTAGTTACCAACTACCAGCTGTCAGTAGTATGTATATCCGCGAGGGTGCAATGTGCAACGCATTCTTTTGCTGGAAGACCCCAATCTAGTGAGATCATGAAGAACTCATATATGTTCAAAGATACTACATAACTGAATACTCTAACAATTGTCGATTGAGAACCAAAGAGCACTGTTTTCTGAAATGCCAAAATCCAGCAACGAAACAATATTGTTTTTTTTCAACCCTTGGCATAGAATTACATCGAAGATTGCTTAGAAATATTACGTCACTCTCGAACGCAAGACTTTTTGAGAGTCATGTAAACCTTAAAACAAACTTGTATTTATAATCAAATTATATACAATCATGGTACTTTTGATGGCAGCTAGGCGTTTCCATTAACAAATGCCAAGCATGATTACGAAGCATGATGTTGTTCGTGCTCCGATCTTGCTAGACCTTCGTATAGGGCAGGAGGAGGCACCTTCAAGTCCATGAAGTATAAGTACAGGGTTGTGGCCAGGGAATCGAGAGAGTCATTCTATACAGGAAGTCATCTATCTCTAGCACTACCTGCGAGAAGTCTACAGTTTTTGATCTTTTAATCTTCTTTCGCTACCAACCCAAATCAATGGCATCATACTCAGGCAAAAACGCGGTCATTATAGGCGGTAGTCATGGTATCGGCCTATCAACAGCTCAGCTTCTGGTTGACGGGGGTGCAAAAGTCCTGGTCACCGGTCGAAGCCTTGGACCCATCGAAGCAGCGAAGCAACAACTAAAGGATAAGGCCGAGATTGTGCCATGTGATATCACTTCAACTGCAGACATATCTGATTTTGTTCAGACAGCGCAGTCCTTCTTTGGTCCTGGACAAAGCATCGATCTTCTTTTTGTCAACGCTGGCTATGCCTCTCTGGAGCCATTCTCTACCGTGTCAGAGGACTCTTTCCGACGAACATTCGACACCAACGTATTCGGTGCCTTCTTCGTGGTGCAAAAGCTGTCCCCTCTCCTGAAAGATGGCGGCTCTATCGTATTCACTACCGCGGTCTCAACCCAGGCCGGTATCCCTGGCATGGCGACGTACTCGGCCTCCAAGGCTGCCGTCCGGTCGTTAGTGCAGACATTGGCAGCAGAGCTGGTTAGTCGGAAGATTCGCGTCAACGCGGTTTCCCCCGGGTTTGTGAAAACGCCAACGATGGGTATTGCAAGTGCCTCGAGTGATGAGTTACGGGAGTTCGAAAACCAGGGTGTTCAGACTACACCCCTGGGTAGGATTGGAGAACCGATCGAAATCGCGCGTGCCGTTTTGTTCCTCGCGTTCGAGGCAACCTTCACTACGGGCTCGGAAGTGACACTCGATGGTGGGCTGGCATTCTTGAAGGCGCATTAGTGGTGAATCTAAGTGAGGAAAGACTACTGTGGGCTTTTACGATACGTATGCTAAGTAATGCATAGATAGAATGAAGGTGCTGTAAATATGTAGCGGTCCTCCTTGTCTTGTGATCATCCTCCCTCTAGATTAGGATCTAAGCAAGTAATTGTCATGAATGCCAGCTTTACCCTTCAACATATATCTCACCGAAAGTACTGATAACCAGAGTCATTCAAACATCATGTAAAACACATACGTTCATATTAATGTAGTAGCTATCAAATATGAGCGGATATTACATCCTATTAGCTACACCGTCTATTGTACATCTCACCTTCATGAAAACCTATATCCGAGTTTTTTAGTCCGTTGTTGCCTTCATCCTGCAGACTTCCATTTCTTATTCGTGAGCAGCAAATTCAGGAGGGCCCGCTTCCTAAACCCAAACGTGTAAAGAAGTAGTAACAAATCAGAAGGTCCATTTTGCTATGTGCTACTATATATTAATAGGATGGATACAAAGTAGCTTTAACACAACACCTCAAGATAGCGACCCCTTACTCCAAACTTTTCTCCCCCTTAAAGTAATCAATCAGCACAGATAGATCCTCGCCCCCATGCCCCTCACCCACTGCTTTCTCTATCAACGCTTTCATCGGAAGGATCATCTGCGAAGAGATCCCTTGCTCCTTGCCAGCTTTGAGAATGTTTTCCACTCCGACCAATTGCATTTCCAGGTTAGATCCCTGTGTGGCATAGTCTCCCTCGTCGATCTGACTCGCGATAGAACTAAGATATCCCATCATTGCCGACAGCCATGGAGTCAGAAGCGGCAATAGTCCGGTAGCTGTCTTACTCTGCTCGGACTTGATCAGAGCAACCGCATGCAGGAACCCGGAGAAGAGACCGTACATTCCCGATAACAAAGCCAAGTCATGCAGAGAGGCAGACCCTGCATCGGTACCGAGGAATTTACTCATTCCGAGGAGAGATAGATGACTTTCTATGCTTTGAAAAAGCTCGAATGACCCTCCACTATAAAGAAGGACAGCGTGCGGAGAGCCAATCATAGCGGGAACCGCCATAATGCCGCCGTGGATGTACCGTGCGCCGTTGGAGGTGACGAAATCTGCGAGGTTACGAGCTTGGTACGGTGTCCCATTGGTAAGGTTGACAATAGTCTTGCTGGACAAACTGTGGAATACATCCCGTAGAATGTCCTCGGCAGCTTCATTGTTAAGGAGGCATATAATGATGAGGTCGCTGGCGTTTATGCCCTCCGAGATTGTAGAAGCTAGCTTGGCACCCTGCTCAACGAGCGGAGTTGCCTTTGCAGTGGTTCGATTCCAGACAGTGGTTTTGTAGCCATGTTCGAGGTATCTGGCTGCGAGGGCCGCTCCCATGGCCCCGAGACCGAATATGCTTATGTGCTTGGACATTGTGAGATATGGATCGTTGTGTTGTTTCCTTGGGTGGCTGAAGGTAGACCATCATCACAGACCCATTTATATGCACAGAGTTTTGGGGAAAGCGCTATCAGGAGAGCTTATTGTGACTCAATGCTGATTTGAAATCAACCATTAATAAGTTCATATTCTACCCATTTCCAGGTAGCTCAACTGCTATATCGAAGCTCGTATTCAAAACTTGGCAATCAACCCCAATTGAGGTATGTCATAGTCCCAAGATAAAGGTTTTCCATCCATCTGCTGGTATTCGCTCCGTTAGATGTAGTTCATGGTGCGTCTTTCTGGGGGCTGGGAGTTAAACTAGATACATTTGCCAAAGTTATTGGCTAACTAGGCAAGAGTAGCCCTAGGATTTGAGTATGTATACTTCCCACAAGGTGACTTCTTCGGTAAACCTCGCGAAAGCATGCTCAATAACACTACCAAACTAATGATAAAGTTTTCCTAAAGGTTAATAGCAGTTTCACCATGCTAGATTCCGAGTTATGGTAAGATTGTGGACCTTGGATGGCTTCACACATATGCAACCTCTTTAGGGAACTTTTCAAATTTGATAGGTGGTTTTTCTTACCATATTTAAATGAAATATATAGGCAATTACTGCTTCTAATTCTCAACAATTGGCCGGCTGGCCCAATGGCAAGGCGCTTGACTACGAATCAAGAGATTGCAGGTTCGATCCCTGCGTCGGTCATTCTTTTTTAGTTTTATTTAACTCCTTTCCCGCAATGTCCGTTGGCGTGTTAGACCATTCCTCTCTTCCATCCTTTCTTCTCTCTCTTCATCCCTTTTCTCAACCACTACTCACCTCCTCTTCCTTCATTTCCAAAGTACAGACGTCTTAGCTCGATTGCCTTTGTGCTCCCTGGAGCAATTTACCCCTCGTAGTATTTCTCTCCCGACGTCCACCCGGTCAAACGACCCAATGACACACTCCTGTCATATCAATCGCTCGCGTCTCATTATTGTCAATTAACATTTGGATGAGGTTTTACTGGAGGTTTAAAGTGTCTACTGCTTTCTGACTTGTCAAAAAATATATTTAAGAGTCAGATAATGCTGCCTCGGCAATACAAGCATATCTATGTCTTTGTAGCTGATATGAATTGTGTGTCGACATTGTAGACGAACATACGCCATCCTGTATCCTGGAGTTGGACGACTCCGTCGGATGGACACATCGCCCAAGGTATCCTAGTATCACTAATTAGACGGGTTCAATTTAGGCGCAGGATCTTGACGCCGATCACATCTCCATGTCCAGCGTCCTTCCGGTGGGAAGTCATCCCCACAGACGGAGCTACTGGGTGGATATCCCCCGGGAGTATATATGTATGTACGTACTTTGCATCGTACCAGACCTTTAAGAATCAGGTATTATCAATTTAATCAAGTACCATGTACGCATCTGAGATTCAATTCGTTGTCGGGCTCTCTGGGTATTTCGTGAAAGATCTCCAAGCCGTTCGACAGAGTCCAACATATGATCCACTGGTTGACAATATACCCCCGCAAACACCCGGTTTTAAGAGCGTGGTACAGGCTGGTCAAGCTATCTCTATCCTCCTACATCTCCCAAATGGGACAATTGCAGTGGGTGACTGTGCCGACGTTATCTTTTCCGGGGCTGCCTCTCGGGATCCCCTCTTCGTCGCCGAAGACCACCTCTCTATCTTAGAGTCGGTCGTCAAGCCTCGACTCCTTACATGTGACCTTACTCAATTCCGGGAAAATGCAATCATAATGGATGGGCCCTGGCCTGAGTTGCAGCAGGGCAAATTGCATTCCGCCGTGAGATATGGCATCACGCAGGCGCTCCTCGCCGCCA